CTGGTGAGCACACGCGCCCTATAGCAAAAACCTCTCCAAAAAAAGAAAAAAAAATTAAATCAAACATCATGGATTACATTTATTATCCAGATGCAGAGATTTCTCCGTGCTCACTGACCCATTCATGGTGGGCTTGGCCATACCTGAGACAAGGTGATGTCCCCATGTCACTGTAACCTAAAGCTATACTCTGATGGCAGAAACCAGGTATTTTTCATCGAAGAACTCACTGGAGGAGTTCCTAGCACATACTAGGTACTCGATAAAGGTTCGTAAAATGTGGGCCAATCTCCCAGCCCGGTGGGTAAGAGGAGGTGGATCCCACCAGATATGAACCTGTGGCCCATTCAGCTTAAACACGGCAGGCACCGTGACTGCGTGGCCCAAATCCAGACAGCGTGGAGCAGTGAGAAAAAAAAAAAAAACTCTCCAAAAAGAAACAAAGTGAGAGTCTGGCAGGTGGTGTGGTTAAGGGTGCTGGACTCCCACATGGCCAAATACAGTTTGAGTCCCAGACCTGGCAGCTTGCTTTTTCACTTTGCCTCTCTCTCTCACTCTGTCCCTCTCTGGTCAAATTTAAATAAATAAATAAATAAATAAAGTTTTAAAAAATGAAACTTCATGTTTCTAATAAAGCATCTTCACTAGGCCAGCAGGTGGTATGGAGGTTAACATTGGAAATTTGAAAATCATGCCAGGCACACGTGCGTGCAAGTCCAAAATCCTCAGAGGAGAATGGAGACAGGATTGCAGTGTGGCCACCCCTCCGGGGGGGCACTTCTCATATGCTCTCTCTCTCCAGTGAGCACATATGCCCTATAGCAAACTGGAAAACAAATCTAGCTGTGCAGATAGAGGCGACCATTTTCAGCTTGGTACGGTAAGACAATGGTGACCTTGATAAAGCGTCAATCTGTGTGCCATCTCACCTCCGGCTCCTCAGAGACCCAGCTTGGTTCTCCAATGTCTCCTCTAGGTGTTGCTCCTGGCTTTACCACCAGTTCTCATCCGAATCCACTCGGGAATGGGATAGGCTTTGTGTGTTTCCTTAACAATAGGCTGTTGGATATAGAACCTCCACCCAAAACCTCTACGATTGATTCTGAGGGGACACCTCAGAGTGTCCAGGAAGCCATCACGGTTTACAGATGCTTCCTCTGCAAGAATACTTTTCAAGGTAGCCTTGGAATTTCACGCTTGTATTAAATAACTATATAAAGCACCCATTCGTTTTGTCTTTGTTTATTTTATTTAGGGTAGCCCATGTGTGTGCATGTGAGAGAGAGGTGTAGGTTGGTCAGGCCTCAGTCCACGTCCTTCAGCCATCCAACCTGGCAGGCTCTTGGATCCGATCACACACGCCTGGCATGTTTCAGCTCCGCCAGCAGAAGACGCCGGCTGGAGTGAGCACTGCAGTTCAGGATGCCCTGACTGCTCCACAGAGGCTGGTCCTGTTCCTTCATTCATTCATCTGTCTATCTATTTTTAAAATATTTTCTATTTTATTTAACTTTATTTATTCATTTAGTTATTTTAATTTGACCAGAGACCAAGAGAGAGAGAGGGAAAGTGAGAAAGCAAGCTGCCAGGTCCGGGACTCAAACTGTGGTAGGCCATGTGGGAGTCCAACACCCTTAACCACCATGCCACCTGCCGGCCTCCCATTCATTCACTTAAATGCATTCGGCGCCTTTAAATTCAGCCCCAAGTACGCTGAGGAAAGAACCAGACATTGGTAGGCAGATGTTTGCTCTGTCTATCTGGCCTAGCCACCAGCAGTTCATTAAACGGTCTACACCACCTGTGAGATAGCTAACCGTTAGTTGCCAAGGGTGCTGGTCAAATGGAGTGTGAGTAATAATCTGAGTCCGGCTGTTTTCAGGATCACAGACTTCTTGGTGGACGGTCTGAGGATCTACCTCCCTCCTGTGCTACTCCAAGTCTAAGTTTATCCGTCACTAACTGCAGATTACCTGGTAGCCCCTGTTACCTGTTCAATTACTAGCGATAGCTGACTCCCCCTTCTAAGCGGTAAAAACCCAGTCCCACCATTGGCTTGGACTCTTCATGTGAAAAACTATGTTAACTTTTAGTCGAGTTAGGTTCAGGGTTTTAACTTCTGAGAAACACTTATCACCTAGCTAATGAAGGGACAGAGTGCCTGGTAGGTGCTGAGAGGCCACGGAATATTACCTTCATGTTCCTTTAGTCCCATCAGTCCCTCGGTCTGGCATGAAAAATGACACCAGCTACATGTGTGTGCACCCAGGTGCCCAAAATCCTGAAAGGAGAAACGGAGGAGAAGGGATTGTGGTGTGGTCATGCCCCCTGGGGGCGATGTCTCACTTTCCCTCTCTCTGCCTCTGTCTCTCTCTTTAGTGAGCACACATGCCCTATGGGGGGAAAACACTTTAAAAATCCTGAAATAGTCCTCCCACCATCCTCTCAACATTTGCTAATGGGTGTAATTGCCACCTCCCTCAGGGAGCTGGGTGAGAATCAAAAGAGATCATTTATGAAAAGGTGCTTTACCACCTGGCAAGTGCCGAATACACCTACGGGATTATTATAGGCGGAAACAGTCCCTTTCGAAGACCAATCATTTAGGAAACACTGGAAGCATCAAGTGTTGGTTTCCATAGTCAGTCCAAGACAAATACGTACGTGTAAGCCAACATGAGACAAGTCATGGCAATCCGGGGGAAGAAATTTATAATTTAGTATTTGGGGTTGATGTAGAAATACTCATTTCACATCGCATAGCGTTTACACAGCATTGGGGAGCGAAGACCCTAAGTCGTAACAGCGAATCGCCCGCAGATTCCGCCATGGCCTGGGGAGTTCTCCTGATTCTGAACGGTACCCAGCGCTCCGACGCTGTCTCCGGATACCCTTTCCTCTCCAGGGAAAGCGGATTACATCCAACACGATGAACTATATCCATGTCTTAATCCGGATGCGAGTCCCAATACACGTTCTGAGGATTTTCGCTCAGTAGGACAAAACGGGTCAAACAGGCGACAGCGACTTCGAGGTTCCCGATCCTTTATCCAAAATGTTGCCTTGAGCTTCCCGGAACCCCTGGAAAGCCCTCGGAGACCGGGTCGGTGAGAACTGTGCGCACCGCGAACCCCTACCCACCCCGCGGGGACCGGCGCTCCACCCCAGGGCGGGGCGCTCGGGGGATCCCCGCCTCACCGCGTCCTCGCATCCTGCATCCGGCTCCGAGGCTGCAGCGCGGCGGACGGCGGACGGTGGACGCTGGACGCGATGTATCTCCGCAGGGCGGTCTCCAGGACCCTGGCGCTGCCCCTGAGGGCGCCCCCCAGCGCCGCGCCGCTGGGGAAGGACGGTGAGCGCGCGGCGCACTCTGACGGTCCGGGCCTGCGGAGGACGGGCGCCCCTGGACCCGCTCGCACCCAGTCCCGCACCACTGAAGCCTGGTTTGGGGGTGAGGAAGCGATGGGGGAGGGTCGTGGGAAAGACGTCCCGAAGTTGTTGGAGACTTCGGAAGTAACGATCCTTTCCAGCCTGAATTCCGAATCCGGACTAGAGTTCCTTGGTCCGAATTGGGATCTCGGGCAAGTGGGTATCCTGCGCTCTCATCCGTAAAATGGGGACGACAATGGTTGTGAGATTTAACAAATCAGTGTGGAGTCAGAAGCGCTTGGAAAAGTGCCCAGCTACAACACCGCGCTTACCGCTTTTATTATGGCAGGAGCCGGTTCACTCTCTGGCTCTGGAGCCGCGGGGGCGCGGGGAGGGTGTGCGGCGCAGCGCACGTTCGCGGTTATGTAAAAGCAGGACGGGTCGACCTGACCGCCTGCGCCCTGAGCATCCCCGGAGGAAGCCGCCTTCCGGGCACTTGCCTGAGAGGTTGCACGGAGCCCTGCATCTATCCAGTTGTTCCGCTCGGTCACCCACATAACTTCGGATTACCTTCGGATTTGGGGATGCGTGGAAAAAGACAGCGCGTTCATATATGTCCTAAGGGGACGTTGGAGAGCTAGAAGCTTATTAAATAAAACTCGACGAATAGTAACGTGCCAAGTCTAGAGCCTGGTACACAGTAGGTGCTTAGTAGGTGTGAACAAAAGATTTTCGCCCCAGCAGCGGGCGGCTCAGCGGCGGGTTTTGCGCTCCGGTGGAGTTTGAGCCCAGCCACTCCTTCCTAGCGCTCATCCGCCGCCCCTCTCTTTCCCACTCTTAGACGACCTCTAGAAAGTGCTTAAATTCTCTTAAATTCCCTTCGCCTCATTTCCCGAGCTTTGTGAGGTAACTAACGCACAGCGTGGGTTCGAGCCCAAGGGAAAGAACGACCTCTGCGAATATTCAATATCCGATGGGCTCGATATTTTCCCCTTTGATCGGGCTCCTGTTTTTGCTGGTGGTGGCTGGGAGGGAGGTCTCTCCAACGAGCTTTAGTTTTCTTTTAAAATGCTGATGAGACGAAATTGCCCACAAGTAACAGAAATAAGACATGTTCGTTTGCCTCAATCTTGACTAAGGTCGAACATTTTTTTCTTCTTCCACAGACTAAGTAGGGAGAGGCCATGTATGAATATTTTAAACCTCGGAAGATAAGGAGTCTGCTATGATTAGGAGTCAGGGATAGAAAGGCAAGCTCCCTGACTCTGGGCTTTTGGATTATCTGTCTGCATACCCCACTGATGCCACGCACACACACACACTTTTTTGATGGCTGCACTAATTTCCAGTAACGTCCTCCCTAATGTGGGTCAAAATGAACGTAACTTTACATTGTAAATATGTCCTTAACAACACTGGTTGTGACAGAACTGGGCACTCTCCAGTTTCCAGCTAATTACGACTTTGGGAGCACTGAGTTGTGAACTTTAAGGACTAGTGTGGACTAGAAACATACCCGTGTTCCTTGTGGATGTTGATGAACCTTTCATTGGTCCCTTTTACTTGAGCGAAAAATCAGTATGTTTCAGTTTTATGGAAGGATCCATTTTTAACTGATCGACATTTCTTCTCTCCTTTTTGTTTTTAAAAAATGTAACTCTTAAAGGAATAGTAATCTAGGGTTATAATAGACCACTGCGGGGGGGAGGGAAAGGCAAAATGAAAAATAGGAGAATAGAAGTCATCTGAAGGGTTACTATTTGGTGAGCAGCACTACACATTTATACTGAGCCCGGGTCTCCACCGCTTTTTTTTTTTTTTCTTTTGTACTTTTTTCTTTATGTACTTTGCCCATACGGAGTATGTTGCTATGACTTTTCAGGTAAGATATTGTAAATATTTAATCATGTAAGTATTTTTTGCAAAAATGGCTGTTTCACATTGGATGAATATACTACAGTCTTGTCTAAATCGCTAACCCTAATTGGCTAGTTCCTGTTTCATTGTTATTTTACATAACTTGGTCACAACTGTGTTTATGTTTAAGTTTACTTAAATCTCTGATCATTTTATTTCTTCTCTCATTAAAAACAATCTTTCTGATATTTCTGTTCAGGTGAGAAGTCCAACAGCTAGGTATTCCCCGTTTAATCACAGATGTTCTTTAAAAAAATATTCTGTTATAGGGCGCTTGTGCTCACCAGAGAGAGAAAGAGAAAGTGATAAATCATTCCCTCCCACTGGGGTAGGAAGGGATGGCCACCCCAAATCTCATTCTCTTCTTGGCTCTCCTGGCATGTTTTTCTTTCTTTCTTTCTTTCTTTCTTTCTTTCTTTCTTTCTTTCTTTCTTTTTTTTTTTTTGAGAAGTTTTTGCTATAGGGCGTGTACGCTCTCCAGAAAGACAGAGAGAGACAGAGAGACAGAAAGTGAGAAATCACCCCCCAGGGGGGATGGCCACGCTGCAATCCCTTCTGCCATCCCTTCTCCTCCATTCTCCTCTTGGGACCTTGGGCACACATGCACACGCGCCCGGTGTGAGGTTAAGCCACCAGGTCCAGGACTCAGCCCGCAGTCGGCTACATGGGAGTCCAGCGACGAAGCCATACTGCTAACTGCTGGTCCCTCCTGGTATGTTTTTCAAGCCTCTGGTCTGGTCTGCAGACTCCAACCGTGCAGTTGGCCATATGGGATCCAGCCGCCTAACCACCCCCGTAGGGCGCTTGTGCTCCAGATGCACTTTTTCTTTCTTTCTTTTTTTTTTTTTTTTTTTTTTTGAGTGAGGGATTTTTGCTATAGGGTGTGTGTGTTGCCAGAGAGATAGAGAGAGACAGAAAGTGAGAAATCACCCCCTAGGGGGGATGGCCACACCATAATCCTTTCTCCTCCATTCTCCTCTTGGGATCTTGGGCACGCATGCACACACGCCCAGTGTGAGTTTCAAGTCACTGGGTCCGGGACTCGAACCACATGGGAGTCCAGTGTTTTAACCATCGCCACCTGCCAGCTCCATAGATGTACTTGTAAGCCAACAAAAATCCCACCCGAGTCAAAACTATAAGCACTTACCATACTCTCTTGGGACACATTTTTTAGGGAAGAAATATTCTTCCTAAAACATGGACATTTATATCTACACTAAGAATATCAACAGGGAGGGACCAGCAGTTAGTGTAATGGCTATGTCGCTGGACTCTCATGTAGCCAACCGCGGTTCGCGTCCTGGACCTGGTGGCTTAAAACTCACGCCAGGTGCGTGTGCGTGCATGCCCAAGATCCCGAGAGGAGAATGGAGGAGAAGGGATTGCGGTGTGGCCATTCCCCCTGCGGGGTGATTTCTCTCTTTCTGTCTCTCTGTCTGGCAAGCGCACGCGCCCTGTAGCAAAAAAGAAAAAACCTCTTCCAAAAAAACAAAAACAAAACAAAACAATATCAACAGGGAGTCATTGTGATTTTGCCCCTGGGATGGTCTTAACCAGTGCAAACACCCTAAGATTTGCCCTGTGCAGTCGGAATCTCTCATGAGTTCCCGCGCCCATACTCTGTCAGGCCACATCAGATTACTTGATGTGTAATTTTTCTTTTGCTTTTGCCCAGCTCGAGCCTTCTGCCTACACTGTTATTTCTCTTTTCCACTTCTTTCTTTCTTTCTTTCTCTTTCTTTCTTTCTTTCCTTTTACTATTGGGCCACTTACACGCACCAGAGAGAGAAAGAGAGAGAAAGTAAGAAATCACCCACCAGGCAGGATGGCCACACCACAATCTCTTCTCTGTCCTCTCAGAATTCTGGGCATGCAGGCATATACATGAGCCCAATGTGTTTTTCAGGCCACTGGGTCCAGACTCAAACCTGGCAGTTGGCCATGTGGGATCCAGCTGCCTTAACCACCAAACCACTGACTGGCCCATCCTTCCCCTGTTAATCTGACGAAGTGCTTTCCTTCAAAGCTCAGATGCTGTCTCTTCCTTAGTAACAGCTACCTTACGCTAACTAACCCAAGCTTTTCTCTGCATTCTCATCTCTTCAACCCCTCTCCCAGCATTAGTCTTGCTGTATCACAGTCATTTGCCTGTGCATCCATCCACTCTAGATCGTGAGCTTGGGACCTTGCCTGTGTGATTCACGGTCATATTCCTTAATGCTTCTAACAATTCCAAACACATAGTAGGCCCTTTACTGTGTTTACTGAATAAATACACAAATGTTTCTACTTCTGTCTCTTCAAAATAAAGAATTTGAGCTAGGGGCTGGCAAGTGGTGTGGTGGTTAAGGGCGCTGGATTCCCACATGGCCAACCATGGTTCAAGTCTCGGACCTGGTGGCTTGCTTTCTCACTTCCTCACTCTCTCTCTGTCTCTCTCTGATCAAACTGGAAAATAACAATGATAATAATAATAAATAAAGTTAAATAAAATAATTCTTTTTTTAAAAAAAAGAATTTGAGCTATATGAATGCTAAGCTCCTTCCAGCTTTGTCTGTTGTAAAAATTTCAATTCCACGGGGCCAGCAGGTGGTGTGATGATTAAGGGCAATGGACTTCCATATGGCCGACTGAGGTTTGAGTCCCAGACCAGGCAGCTTGCTTTCTCACTTTCTCTCCTTCTCTCTGTCCCTCTCTGGTCAAATCAAAATAAATAAATAAAGTTAAAATAATTTTAAAAATTTAAATTCTAGGACATTGTTCTTATAAATCCTAGCACTACAGAATATCTTTCAGTGTAATACTATGGTACTTTTATTTATTTCTATTACTTTGTACAGAATTGCACTTCTAAGAGGGGATTTCAAAAAGTTTGTCGAAAATGAAAGTAATGTACAAGTTTATTTTGGTGTAAAAATTTTTGAAATTTATGCATAATATTTTCATAGAATGCATTTCTATGAGCTTTTGGAAGACCCTGCACATATTTTTTCTTTCTTTTTTGGGGGAGAGGTTTTTTTTTTTTTTTTTCTCACGTTTTTTTTTACTACAGGGCGCGTGTGCTTGCCAGACAGACAGAGAAACAGAGAGACAGAAAGCGAGAAATCACCCCCGCCAGGAGGCTTGAACAAGCCGCAATCCCTTCTCCTCCATTCTCCTCTCAGGATCTTGCGCACACACGCACACACGCCTGGCGTTAGTTTAAGCCACTGGGTCCGAGACTCGAACCACAGTCGTCGACTACATGGGAGTCCAGCGACATAGCCATTATGCCAACTGCTGGTCCCAGCTTTTGTCATGTCTTCTTACCCACACCTGCACCCCACCTAAGAAAAGCATGACGCTGAGCACCAGACTGACAGGTTTCATAAGAACTTATCAAATTAGACTGCGAGATTTCAAGTGGAAATATTACCCTGCCTTGTAATTCTGTATTTCCTCAAGCTAAAGGCACTCGATGTTAATGCATTCCCAGTTCACTGAAGAGTAGGTTTGTGTGTGTGTGTTTTTTTAAGTTGTCATTATTTGAAATAGTGTTGCTTAAGCGGTGAAGCTAACTGTGCTTGAACTTGTTCTCCTAGCGTCTCTTCGCCGGATGTCCTCGAGCAAGTTCCCTGGACCGTCTGGATCAAATATGATCTACTACCTGGTCGTGGGTGTCACAGTCAGTGCTGGTGGATATTATGTAAGTGGGTAAATAACCGTAGTGTTCGAGAATTCACCCGTGTTATAACCTGTGCTTAAACTCAAAGCAATGTCAAAATCAAGACCTGGAATTAATTAAATATACAACATAGCCATAGGCTTACGTGTCATTAAGCATACACATTTGAAAAGTTTCTTATAGTCATTAGAAATAGGAGGTTTGGGCCCGGCCAGTGGTATTTTCCATATGGCGCTGCTGCACAGTACTGGAGCCACAGGAGTGACCAGGGTTTGGATCCTGGGTGTGGCTGAATACGTTGGGTACACCAGTGCACCTGTTATCCTGGCTGGCTGAGATGATGGGGAGGATCATGGCATGGTGAGGCTCTCTTAGAGGTACTTGTCTCTCACAGAAATAAGTACATAAATAAATATTTTAAAAGGGGGGGGCAGCAGGTGGCATGGCGGTTAAAGGTGCTGGATTCCTACATGGTTGACCACAGTTTGAGTCCCGGACCTGGCAGCTCACCTTTTTGCTTTCCCTTTCTCTCTCTCTCTCTGTCTTTCTCCAGTCAAATTCTAAAATAATAATAACAAATGGAATTAAATAAATCTTAAAAAAAAATAAAAAGATGGGGGCATCCCTTTGACTTCGTGTTAAAAGAGTCAGATTCCACATAGCCAACCACACGGTTCAAATCCTGGTGAGCAGGGCTTGCAAAACACACCATGGACACACAGGCCCAAATTCCTGACAGGGTAAAGAAATGGAGGACAGATTTCGGTGTGACCATGTCCCATCAAGGGGTATTTCTCCCTTTCCGTCTTTCTCTGGTGAGCATATGCATCTGTTGACAAAAACAAAGATAAGGTTTTCAGAAGAATATCTGAACGAGACTGTTAGAAAGATTTGTAGAATATAACATTAAATTTTCTTAAGACTACTAATATAGATGACTCATGAAAAACAATGTTATTGGGACCAGCAGATGGTGTAATGGCTATGTCGCTGGACTCCCATGTAGTTGACCGCAGTTTAAGTCCCGGACCCGGTGGTTTAAATTCATGCCAGGTGCGTGTGAGTGTGTGCCCAAGATCCCAAGGGGAGAATGGAGGAGAAGGGATTGCAGCATGGTCAACCCCTGGGGAGGTGATTTCTCGCTTTCTGTCTCTCTGTCTTTCTGGCGAGTGCACATGCCCTATAGCAAAAAAGCTCTCCAAAAAAAATTATTTTATTTAACTTTGTTTATTTATTTTTAAAATTTGACCAGAGAGGGGCAGAACGAGAGAGAGAGAGAGATAGAGAGAGAGAGAAAGTGAGAAAGCAAGCTGCCAGGTCCAGACTAGAACTGCGGTCAGCCATGTGGGAGTCCAGTGCCCTTAACCACCATGCCACCTGCTGGCCCCCAAATGAGTATCCCTTCCTCTAGAACAGTTTTCGGTTCACAGGCAAATACGTGGAGAGTTCCATATATACTGCCTAGCCTTGCTCAGGCCTCCTCCTTCCCTCATTAGCATCTCCCATCACTGGTGTGTTTGCGATAACTGGTAACGTGACCCGGATACAGCATCACTGACTGACTGCACACCAGGGTTCGCTCTTCGTGTGTGTCGTCTGTGAGTTTTAGCAAGTATAAAATGGCATGTGGTCACCAGACAGCATCTCACCCAGAAGAGAGTCACTGCCTGAAAAGTCCCTGAACTCCCTCTGTTCATTCCTTCCTCTCCCAATATTTTTCCTGTCTCCATAGCTTGTACTAGTTTTATATTTTTTATACAGTTTTATTTACTTATTTATTTATTTTAGAGAGAGATATTTTTTCCTCTAGGGCATGTGTGCTTGCCGGAGAGACAGAAAGAGACAGAGAGACAGAAAGTGAGAAATCACCCCCCAGGGAGGACGGCCATGGTGCAATCCCTTCTCCTCCATTCTCCTCTCAGGATTTGGGGTGCACATGCACATGTGCCTGGCATGCGTGTCAAGCCTCTGGGTCTGGGACTCAAATTGCAGCCAGCCATGGGGGAGGTCTAGCCATGTAACCGTTCACCATCTGCTGGTCCTATAGTTTTATTATTTTTTATGAATCATATTTGTTCATAATTTTTTTTTTTTGCCATAGAGTGTGTGTGCTTGCCAGAAAGAGACAGAGAGAGAGACAGAGAGACGGGAAGTGAGACAGCACTCCAGGGTTGCGGAGGAGGGCAGACGGCCATGCCGCAATTCCTTCTTTTCCATTCCCCCCTCGGGATTTTGGGCACGTGCTTGCCCATGTGCCCGGCATATTTTCCAAGCTGTGGGATCCGGCCGCCTTCACCACCACATCACAGGCTGTCTCCAAATGTGAATTATTCTAATTGTCATCTTTTCAGTTCTGCCTAAAGCGAGCCTTCTGTGTGGTAGCCCCTCGAGGTAGAACACGGAAGTCCTCTGGCATTCTGCTAGACTGCTCGTTTCAGGGGTGTGACCTTGCGGACCCGTTCAGTGTTAGTGCTGAACACGGAGGACGCCAACTCAGCGGATTGCATCCGTAAGCTCTCGGCAGCTCCCTCCTGCCAGGAAACCATTCCCTGCTTTTACACAGAAATGCTCCCAGGAGCTGCCTGGGGGAGGCGGGTGGCGAATTCCTGAGAAAAATTGTAATGGACACAAGAATGCAGGTAAATAAGTGAAAGAGGCTACAGGGTGTTGGATCCCTGCAGAGTAAAAAATGTGAACAACTTAATACATTAAAAAAAAACAAAAAACAACCTCGGGACCAGCAGATGGTGTAATGGTTACGTCACTGGACACCCACATATTCTACCGCGTTTTGAGTCCTGGTGGTTTAAAACTCACACCAGGCACATGTGCGTGCATGTCCAAAATCCCAAGAGGAGACTGGAGGAGAAGGGATTGCAGTGACCACCCCCCTAGGGGGCGATTTCTTGCTTTCTGTCTCTGTCTCTTTCTGGTGAGTGCATACACTGTATAGCAAAAACCTCTCTAAAAACAAACAAACAAACACCCTCTAGTAGAACAGTTAACAAATGCACACAGCATAATGTAATGTTCAACGTGAAAGAAAATGAACATGATGGTTCCTTGGTTTGATTATTATACGTAAAAAATACCATACTCTAGCCTCCTCCTCCCCACCCCCAGAAAAAAATGTCGATTGTCATTCCCACTAACCCTGTTCGTTCTGCAGGTTTCAAAGCCGGATGGTTTGAGTCTGAATTCACCAGACCCTAGGGGGTGTGTTACAAACCAGCCACTTTTCCATGCCTTCCAACCCTGAGGTTACAGATTATCCATTTTCATGATTCAATATTTATACTTAAAATGATTTACAATTTACGTAGTATACATTTTTTTTTAATTTGCTGCAGGGCACATATACTCACCATAGAGAGAAGGAAAAGGAGGGTGGGAAAGCACCTCTCACTGGGGACGGTCACGTCGCAATCCTTTTTCCTCCATTTCTCGTTGGACGATTGTGGGTGTGCATGTGTTTCCCAGGTCATGTGGTCTGGGATTCAAACTGCACTGTTAGCCATGGGACCCAGCTGCCTTAACTACCATGCCACCAGCTGACCCACAGAGTAAAATTCTTAAATAAGGCACTTGGTTTTTGGTGATTAAAAATTTAGAAAATAGTATATATAAACCTAAATTTAAAAAATATGTAATCCTGGGGCCAGCAGGTGGCATGGTGGTTAAGGTGCTGGCATTCCCACATGGCCAACCATGGTTGGAGTCCCAGACCTGTTGGCTTGCTTTCTCATTCTCCCTATCTCTCTCTCTCTCTCTCTGTCTTTCTCTATAAAAACTCATGTGAAATAAATTAATTAATTAAATAATTCTTAATTTTAATTAGACCAGAGAGGGACAGAGTGAGAGAGAGGGAGAGAGAAAGTGAGAAAGCGAGCTACCAGGTCCGGGACTCGAATCACAGCCAGCCATGTGGGAGTCTAGAACCCTTAAACACCACGCCACCTGCCTGCCTGGTACAAATTTTTTTTTAAAGGTCAAGTTAAGAGACTAGCAGGTGGTTAAGGCTCTGGACTCCCACATGACTGACTACGGTTTGAATCCCAGACCTGGTGACTTGACATTCACGCTAGGTGTGTGTACATGCGAGCCCAAAATCCCAAGAGGAGAATAGAGGAGAAGGGATTGCAGTGCGGCCATTCCCCCTGGGGGATGATTTCTTGCTTTCTCTCTCTGTCTCTCTGGCGAGCTCAGGTGCCCTATACCAAAAATGTCTTCAACAACAACAACAAACAACAAACAAACAAGTCAAGTTTGGGATCAGCAGATGATATAATAGTTATGTTGCTGGACTCCCACATGGTCGACTGTGGTTTGAGTCCTGGACCCAGCAGCTTCAAACTCACACCAGGCATGTATATGTGCATCCCCAAACTCCTAAGAGGAGAGCAGAGGAGAAGGGATTGCGACATAGCCATCCCCCCAGGGGGTGAGTTCTTGCTTTCTGTCTCCCTGTTGCTCTGGCTAGCACACGCTCCCTATAGCAAAAATGTCTCTCTCTAAAAAGAAAAGTCAAGTTCAAGGGCCAGCAGTTGGTGTGGTGGTTAAGGTGACTGGATTCCCACATGGCTGGCTGGGTTCGAGTTGTGGACCCAGTGGCTTGAAGATCACTCCGGGCACATGTGTGTTTGTGCCTGAGATCCCTAGAGGAGTATGGAGGAGAAGGGACTGTGGTGCGACCACTCCCCCTGGGGAGGCGATTTCTCACTTTCACTCTCTCTGTCTTTGTCCTCTCTAGCAAGTACACCCGCCCTATGGCAAAAACCTCCAAAAACAAAAACAAAAAAGTCAAGTTAATACAAACTATTATCTGAGTACTGAGGTTTTCATCTTTAACATATCATTGTCTAATATCAGAACAGACCAGCGAAGGCTCCTCGAATACGAAATGAAAGGAAGCCTGCACATCTGTCTAGGATTAAGATAGCTGCTTCCCAATACCGATTTTCAAGTAGCTTACAGTCAGGTCATGTTCTTGCTTTTAACCCTGCCTCACATGTGAGGGGTTTTCATTAGGATCTAGCAATTTATCATGTTGGAGGTTGTTTTGTTTTGTTTTTTAACGTTTAATCATTGTACATCTTTACAACATATACTATGGGTTCTCAACGCATAAATGCATTGCATGTCAAGCAACTCAGATATATTACTATACACAGTAACTTTCCATTTTTGTGTTTGTTAAATGTGTTGGTTTTTTTTGTCTTTTTTTTCCCCTTGAGCATATTCCTTTCACCACTGGGAGATTTCTTTTCTTTTCTTTTTTAAAAAATGTTTTTCCATAAGGTACAGACACACACAGAAGAGAGACATTGAGAGGGAAAGCAAGAAATCACCCCAGGGGGGATGGCCACATGGCAATTCCTTCTCCTCCATTCTTCTCTTGAGATTTTGAGCACACACAACACTGGGTGTGATTTTTAAGCTGCCAGGTCTGAAACTTGAACCATGATCAGTGAGGTGTGAATCAGTGTTTTAGCCACCATGCCATCTGCTGGATCCACCCCCTGGAAGATTTTTAAAAACATATTATTGTGGGGCCGGCAGGTGGTGTGGTGGTTAAGGCGCTGGACTCCCACGTGGCTGACCACGGTTTGAGTCCTGACCTGGCAGCTTGCTTTCTTACTTTCCCTTTCTCTCTCTCCATGTCTCTCTGATCGGAATAAAAAAGTAAATAATAACAACAAAGAAAATTAAATACATAATTTTAAAACTTAAAAACCCCCCACATTATTATGAGATAATTGAGATTCACATGCAATGATAAGAAATGCTACAGAGGAACCCGCAGATGGCATAATGGTTATGTCGCTGGACTCCCATGTAGTTTACCACAGTTCAAGTCCTGGATCCAGCAGCTTAAAACATTCCAGGCACGTGTGTGTGTGCGTGCGCACGCACCCAAGATCTCTAGAGGAGAATGGAGGAGGAGGGATTGCGGCATGGCCATCCCCACAAGGGATGATTTCTCGCTTTCTGTCTCTCTGTCTCTCTCTTTCTGGGGAGCGCACACATGCCTTATAGCAAAAACCTCTCAAAAAATAAATAAATAAATAAAAAGGAAAAAGAAGAAAAAAGAAATGCTACAGAAAGGTCTTATGTACTTTCCACCTCATTTCCTCCCATGGTTATCTTCCATAATAAAATATCAACAAATCGATGTCGATACAACCCATCAATCTTACTCGGATTTCACTAGGTACATGTGCACTCATTTGTGTGTGTGTGTGTGTGTGTGTGTAGTTATTCCGTGCAGTTTTAACATGTGTGGATTCATGTATTCACCACCACTGCCATGGTCAGGACAGAACCATCACCACAAAACCCCTGTGTTTGCTTGTTATAATTGCACCTCCTTTCCCCCTGCTGTCTCGACCCCTCCTTTCAACTCCTGGCAACCACTAATCTGTTTTCTAGGTTTATACTTCTTTTTAGAATTATTTATTTAATTTATTATTATTATTTTAATTTCCTATAGGTCATGTGCACTCACCAGAGAGAGGGAGAAAGAGAGAAAGTGAGAAGAAAGCAAGCCACCAGGTCCAGGACTCCAACTGCAGTCAGCCATGTGGGAGTCCAGTGCCTTAACCATCACGCCACCTGCTGGTCCTCTAGATTTATACTTTGGTTATTTGATTTTAGAGGTTTTTGCCAAAGGGTGCATACACTCACCAGTGATGGAGACAGAGACAGTGAGAGGAAAAGTGAGAAGTCACCCCTCCTGGGGGGATGGTCATGTCGCAATCCCTTCTCCATTCTCCTGGGATCTTGGGCATGCACTCACATGCGCCTGGCATGATTTTCAAGCCATCAGGTCTGGGACTAGAAATGTGGCCGGTTATGTGGGGGTCTGGTGACATAACCATTATGCCATCTGCTGATCCCTGTTTTTTTTCCCCTTTTTAAAGCATTGATTTAATGACAAATGTTTCCAAAGGAGAGGTAGAAGAATAAATAGTATGCCTTGATTTCTCCTTTGCTGCATTATGGTCTAAACGTCTAATGGTGACTGTATGGAGAATGCTACACGCCTTTGAACTGGGCACGATGAACCTTAGAGCTCCAGAAACAAACCTAAGCACCCTTTACTTTCAGACTTACAAGGCAGTCGCGTCAGAGCCAGCCAAGCACACGGAACATGTAACAACTTTGAAAGAGAAAACGAAAGCCGAGTTACACCCACTGCAAGGTAAAGTGACTTTCTTAAAAGTTTTTTTTTTTTTCTTTTGAGACATTAGTTCGCATGGTCTTTGTCTAGTAATGAACATTTGCTTTTGGCTTCTTGACTGGGGATGGCTCTGGGTAGTTAGGAGATCAGTCAGAAAGGAGAAGCCCAACCCAACCCTAGAGAATATGGTTACACGTTTTGGCTGAGTGCGTTTGCTAAATGAGCACGTTTCACATTTATCCTGCTGACCCGCCGCTTTCACTTCTTTGTGTGGTAATATTATTTTCCCCTACTCAAGCGTCCATTCATGCAGGCATAATCTTACTATCCCCCTCTCTCAGCAACTTGGCCCTTTATTCCCCTCATCATTTTTCTAATTTTTATTTTTAGGTTTTTGCTATATGCTATAGGGCATATGCACTCTCCAGAAAGAGAGAGAGAGAGAGAGAGATAGAGAGGAGAAAGTGAGAAATCACCCTCTAGGGTGGGATAGCCACATCGCAATCCCCCTTTCTCCATTTTCCTCTATTGATTTTGGGCACCAGCTCACACGTGGCCAACTTGAATCGTGGTCGGCTACGTGGGAGACCAGAGCTTTAACCACCATGCCACCTGCTGGCCCCAAATCTGTCTCACTTTTTTTTTTTTTTTTTTTTTTAATTTTTTTTCTTTTTTTTTTTTTTTTTTTTTAAATGTTTTTCCTTTGTACCCATGAGCTCGCCAGAGAGAGAGACAGAGACAGAGAAAGTAAGAAGGAAAGTGAGAAATAACCCCTCAGGGGATATGGCCATGCTGCAGTCCCTTCTCCATTCTCCTCCGCAACCTTGGGCATACATACATACGCACATGTGCCCATTATGAGTTTCAAGCCGCTGAGTCCTGGACTCGAACTGTGGTCGACTATATGGGAGTCCAGCAATGTAACTGCTATGCCATCTGCTGGCCCCAAATCTGTCTCACTTTTTATTTTTTTTCTAAAAGAGTTTTTTTGCTATAGGGTGCGTTTGCTCACTGGAGAGACAGAGACAGAAAGTGAGAAATCAACCCCAGGGGGGATGGCCACGCTGCAATCCCTTCTCCTCCATTCTCCTCTCGGGATCTTGGGCTCGCAGGCATGCACACGCACCCGATGTGAGTTTTGAGCAGCTGGGTCTGGGACTCAAACTACGGACTACAGGGGAGTCCAGCGACGTTACCATTACACCATCTGCTGGTCCCGAAATCTCTCACTTTTTCAATGACTGCACAGTGTTCCATTGTGCTCCTATGCTTTTTAAACTAATACTTTCCTTAATGGGCTGAATCTTAAAGGTGTAAAAGGGAACGTGGAAGAAGCTGAGCAAGCAGGTTTTGAGGTCCCTGAAGTATCCGCAGTGGCCGCTGAGGTGGAAGGTGCTGAAGGGCTTCCAGGTGCCACCGCCGAGTCCACCCCGGAAGATCGCCCCTGTCCGGGTGGTGTGGAGGCCCCAGCAGCGGGGGTTGAACCGGCGTCAGAGGGGACAGATACCGCGACAGGCGAAACCACGGAAGTCGACTCTGAAGAGAGCCCCGAGGTTCCGAGTGCCGCTCCAGGTGACGCCGTGGCCATCAGGGATGAAGGTGCAGCAGCGAATGACAGCTGTGGTGAACACGCGTCTCCAGCTGAGTCCGAGCCCTCCGCGGGGGAAGAGTTACTGGAAGAAGCCAGCGCTGATGCTGAGGCCGCCTCTGCTCAAGGCTGACCTCCTGTGGGTAGACATTTCAGCAAAACATGCCGTAGAGGGTCTGATAGGTGCTTTTGTCTTTTTAGTAAACTTAGTTTTATTTTTTTAATTATTTTTAGTTTTTAGATTTTTGCTATAGGGCGCGTGTGCCCCTGGACAGAGACAGAGAGGGAAAGTGAGAACTCTGGCCCAGGGGGCGGATAGGTATGCCCACGTGCTCAGCGTCCAGAGTTTCTCCAACAGCAGGGTCCAAGACTCGAACTAAGTGGCATTGGCTATGTGGCATCCAGCACCTTAACCACTATGCCATCTGCTTGGCGCCGGTACTCTTAGTCTTTTAGAAAAGACTTACTTTCTAGAAAACGTTAATGTGTTTTGATGGTTCTGGGTGTCTATGGATACATTTTAGCATAGAAGGAGCTGAGATTTTACACATCAAAATTAGTTTTCTGCTCCTAAAGATCACAAACATGATGGTAAAGAGCTTGAATAGTTTCATTTTGGGGTTTAAATTTTTTGTATTATAGTTGTCAGCACAACTTGCATTCACTTTAATTTTACTAAGACTTTACCTTACTCTGTTGTATGCAGATTGGGATTATTGAGTTTAATTTGAATTCACTTAAATAAAGTAAAAAAAATCTTTAGTGCGTCTGTTTTTATTCACTAATATTTGTTTCTATAATTAATATATTAGCTATTAACGTACATGCACAAAATACATAAATTCAGCTTTTGTAATAATATCGAAGAAAAAACATATAATCTTTGGGGAACTCTGTGTATGACAATATGTATGTCTTTTCTCCTTCTATATTACCTAGGGGGCTGTGCAAACTTTTTCCAAGTCAGGTCAGATCAGTTCAAACAGTATTTATTGAGAATTTTTCACTCTGTGCCAACAATGATTTATTTACTTATTCATCTATGTGTTCAACAAATATTAACTGAGAACCTACAATCTAGGTACTGTTTAAATGCTTCCCAGCTTACACTCAAGAGTGGGAACAGATAATAAATAAGATAAATAAAAAACTCTATAGTACATTAAATACAGATAAGTACTAAGGATAAAAGTAAGAAAAATAAGGTGATTATTAGTGTTGGTTAAAGATATGTTATAATTTTAGCTACAATGACCAAGAAAACCTTACAAAAGTGTTTGTGTTTATTTGTTTTTGCTACAGGGCACCTGCGCTTGCCAGAGAGACAAAGAGAGACAGAGTGAGAGGGAAAGTGAGAGATTACTCCCTGGAGGGATGGCCACTGCCTTCTCCATTCTCCTCCTGGGATTTTGGGAATGCACGCACATGGGCCCAGCATGAGTTTCAAGCCAGCAGGTCTGGGATTTGATCCTTGGTTGACTATGTAAGAGTCCAGTACCTTTTTTTTTTCTTTTTCTTTTCTTTTTTTTTTTTTTTAAGAGAGATTTTTGCTATAGGGCACATGCACTTGCTGGAGAGACAGAGAGAAAATAAAAAAATCACCCCCCACGGGAATGGCCACGCCACAATCCTTTCTTCTCCATTCTCCTCTCAGGATTTTGGGCACACACGCACATGCGCTCGGCAGG